AATTCATATGTTTTGAATCTTGTGGGTTTGGTGAAAGACCTATATCGGTTTTCTTGGAATGATTTCTAAATTCTAAATTTAGCAACAACCCATGTATTTAATAAGTGATAAAAAGAATTTTAATTTAATCCTGGACCTGGTGTTTTGAAATATTGCAGGAGGTCTGTTGCAGTGGTATCTGCATTTATTTAGTAACAAAATAGAACCACTTGAAATAATCATTATTTTATAGACCAACGAGGGCTTTATATGGCTTTTAACTTTTATCTGCTAACTTGTGTTTAGGTCAATAATTCAAACAGAGCATCGGTTATCAGTTATTGAGGTACTCTTTTCTGGATAATGTTGTTACCTGTGTATTGTTGTTGTTGTTGTACCTTTCGCGAGCATGAGTGTTGGTTATTGATTAGAAAGACTTACAAATTGCTGATATCTTCTTCTCTCTTTGCCTTTTAAGTCATAATGACGACTTATAATGACAATTAAAGATTTATTAAGTTTATCTTACTTTGTGTGTGTGTATTTGTGTTTGTCTATTATACAGTGTTAATGCTATTGAGGTTTGAACAAATTCCTTTCAAGTGACCATCACTATTTCTTTATTCTTTCTCTTCGTATTTGGTTCTGTGTGTGCTGCAGTGTGACGATGCTTTTGCAGATGGAAAGAAATCTGATGTCCCCGGATATGTTGTGAGTTTCTTTATATCCTAGTCATTGTAAATTGTTTTTATTTTGTTCTTATTTTAAATGTCGATCCACTATATTAGGTATTGCTTTTAGATTTAATCTGCTCCTGAGGAATCATTTCACTTATTGGTCAGTTCAGAGGATGCTACAGGCTTTAGTTTAGATACCAATATGTGGTAGGGAGCTACTGTTTTGTTAATAAAGTTTCATTTAGTTCTCCATTTCTCTGTTTGTTGTTTTCGCATAATGTCCATTTATCTTTTTTCTTTTTATTAGGACATGCAAGGGTATCAGTTCTTTTGGAGAGTCTTCTCAAAATTTTATTGTTTATTGTCTATTGATAAACTTGTATATTTTTTTGTTTTCCTGTTTTAATAGATTTTAAATACCTCAAAAGGGTCAATAACAATCGAGTTATACAAAGAAGGCTCTCCTGAGGTGGTTGATGCATTTATTGACTTATGGTGGGTACTGGACTCAACTCTATTATATTTCGATCCGTTGTTGTGGATTCTTATTTTCATTGTTCACATGGCTGACCTTGTTGGTTTCCCAAATCCTTATTTACTTATTTGCTTACTGCACTTTCTTCCTTGTACATAGTTAATCACTTGAGTGGTTCTTTAGACACATTAACAGCAGTGAGATGAGAGGGTTTAGTGTTTTTGTGGTCTTTATGCTTCTCCAACATTTCATCACATAATTTTTTTGGAATCTATCATTTTACTTGAACCTCAAGCTTTGCCTTCAGTCAAGCAAAGCTATGGAAACTTTAATTTGGTTGGGCAATCTGATGCTTGCAAGTGTATAATCAAAACACATATCATCAATTTGATCTTTGCACTAAAGAAGTAGTTCAATTATTGCATATGCTTAGTGCATCATCTTTATGTAATACATCACTTGAAAATGGTGTAGGCAGTCTCCACGCAAGCCTTCCACCTGGGGGGATAATTTTTGACTTTGTACATATACTGAAGTTTTAAATTGAAACGATTTTTTAGTCAGAGGGGGCACTTCAAGGGGATGCCTTTTCACCATGTAATAAAGAACTTTGTGATTCAAGGAGGTAATTCTGATATACCTGGAGCTACAGACGATTGGACTTTGAAAGTAAAGCAAAACAGCCAACTTGAAACAAGGTTTGCGCCCCTGTTGACCCAACCTGTGGAGTTCCCTTTTTACCTCTATAGTTTCTTATTCTATCCTAGTTACTGAATTTGTGATTTTCATCCAGCATGAAGCATGAGGCGTTTATGCTTGGTACTACAAAGGCTAAACATGACAAAGAGGGATTCGAGCTTTTTATTACGACTGCACCAATCCCTGATCTAAATGAGAAGCTGATTGTGTTTGGGCGGGTCATTAAGAGAGAGGATGTTGTTCAGGTTATAAGCCTTTTGCTCTATTTCTCTCTGATTTTTGTGAACTATGAGCATGTGGATGTTTTACTTAAAGTTGTTGCATGCTAGGAGCAATTGAGAGTCTATTCTTTCTGGACATATGAACCATAATCTTATTTATTCTCAAACTTTTTCATGAAGAATATGATGGGAATTTTTATTTATTTTGGCAATGAATGATTGTATCATAGGATTGAGACTACCAAATTCTTGAGACAATGTAATAGGACCATCTCCTTTTATGCTGATAAATTGACATGGATTCATGATGATTCAACACAAGGCAGCTGCTTGTAGTACTCTAATGACTGTATCTGATCTAAAAAAAAGGAGGCTATAGCACATTTGTTGTTATATAAATCTTTTATATATTAAGTTGAGATTGTTATCTCGATAAACTAGTAAAGTTTTTTTTGGTGGTGTGGTGGTGGCTCCCCAATCGTCTTAGCCCATTACATTGGGCCAAAAAAAAAAAAAAAAAAGATGCTTGCATTCGTCGTTAATATAGTCAAATGGCACTATGTCAAGCCAGTTGGATCATGTTAAGTTAATGGGGGAAAAATATGCCATGCTTTTAGTTTTCAAGTCATTAAATCATATTCTTTATTGATGTTTGAACGCATGTCCTGCAATGTGCTTACCAGGAAATTGAAGGGGTGGATACGGATGAACATTATCGACCTAAATCTCCAATAGGAATCATCAATGTGACTCTGAAAGAGAAGGTTTGAAGGAGGTTTTATCAGTTTAAAGCTTCTTTCAATGGCATGGTTTCCCCATCTTAGATGCCAACGTGCTGATAATCACCAAGCAAGCAAGAGGTTTATGGAAAGTATAAATTTTTAGTCCAGGTATAAATTTCATTTTCTGCTTGTATGTAAAAGACTTGAATTTATTTTTGTCAAACTTTTTCACCAATGTGTGTTACTATAGGGTCGTAAGATGGGTCAATGTGAACCTCATAAGTTGAATTTCGGTTGTACGAATGGGATGGAAGACAATACGTACGAGCGAGTATGTGTTTCATGGTCCAGTACAATTTTTTGTATGGTGTTCATTACATTATGTTTGAACTTATTAATGATATTTTGTTAATGTCCATTTATCTTTTTTCTTTTTATTGGGACATGCAGGGGTATAAGTTCTTTTGGAGAGTCTTCTCAAAATTTTATTGTTTATTGTTTATTGAAATACTTGTATATTTTTTTGTTTTTCCTGTTTTAACAGATTTTAAATACCTCAAAAGGGTCAATAACAATCGAGTTATACAAAGAAGGCTCTCCTGAGGTGGTTGATGCATTTATTGACTTATGGTGGGTACTGGACTCAACTCTATTATATTTCGATCCGTTGTTGTGGATTCTTATTTTCATTGTTCACATGGCTGACCTTGTTTGTTTCCCAAATCCTTATTTACTTATTTGCTTACTGCACTTTCTTCCTTGTACATAGTTAATCACTTGAGTGGTTCTTTAGACACGTTAACAGCAGTGAGATGAGAGGGTTTAGTGTTTTTGTGGTCTTTATGCTTCTCCAACATTTCATCACATATTTTTTTTGGAATCTATCATTTTACTTGAACCTCAAGCTTTGCCTTCAGTCAAGCAAAGCTATGGAAACTTTAATTTGGTTGGGCAATCTGATGCTTGCAAGTGTATAATCAAAACACATATCATCAATTTGATCTTTGCACTAAAGAAGTAGTTCAATTATTGCATATGCTTAGTGCATCATCTTTATGTAATACATCACTTGAAAATGGTGTAGGCAGTCTCCACGCAAGCCTTCCACCTGGGGGGATAATTTTTGACTTTGTACATATACTGAAGTTTTAAATTGAAACGATTTTTTAGTCAGAGGGGGCACTTCAAGGGGATGCCTTTTCACCATGTAATAAAGAACTTTGTGATTCAAGGAGGTAATTCTGATATACCTGGAGCTACAGATGATTGGACTTTGAAAGTAAAGCATAACAACCAACTTGAAACAAGGTTTGCCCTCCTGTTGACCCAACCTGTGGAGTTCCCTTTTTACCTCTGTAGTTTCTTATTCTATCCTGGTTACTGAATTTGTGATTTTCATCCAGCATGAAGCATGAGGCGTTTATGCTTGGTACTACAAAGGCTAAACATGACAAAGAGGGATTCGAGCTTTTTATTACAGCTGCACCAATCCCTGATCTAAATGAGAAGCTGATTGTGTTTGGGCGGGTCATTAAGAGAGAGGATGTTGTTCAGGTTATAAGCCTTTTGCTCTATTTCTCTCTGATTTTTGTGAACTATGAGCATGTGGATGTTTTACTTAAAGTTGTTGCATGCTAGGAGCAATTGAGAGTCTATTCTTTCTGGACATATGAACCATAATCATATTTATTCTCAAACTTTTTCATGAAGAATATGATGGGAATTTTTATTTATTTTGGCAATGAATGATTGTATCATAGGATTGAGACTACCAAATTCTTGAGACAATGTAATAGGACCATCTCCTTTTATGCTGATAAATTGACATGGATTCATGATGATTCAACACAAGGCAGCTGCTTGTAGTACTCTAATGCTACTGTATCCAATCTGAAAAAAAAGGAGGCTATAACACATTTGTTGTTATATAAATCTTGTATATATTAAGTTGAGATTTTTATCTCGATAAACTAGTAAAGTTTTTTTGGGTGGTGTGGTGGTGGCTCCCCAATCGTCTTAGCCCATTACATTGGGCCAAAAAAAAAAAAAAAAAGAATGCTTGCATTCGTCGTTAATATAGTCAAATGGCACTATGTCAAGCCAGTTGGATCATGTTAAGTTAATGGGGGAAAAATATGCCATGCTTTTAGTTTTCAAGTCATTAAATCATATTCTTTATTGATGTTTGAACGCATGTCCTGCAATGTGCTTACCAGGAAATTGAAGAGGTGGATACGGATGAACATTATCGACCTAAATCTCCAATAGGAATCATCAATGTGACTCTGAAAGAGAAGGTTTGAAGGAGGTTTTATCAGTTTAAAGCTTCTTTCAATGGCATGGTTTCCCCATCTTAGATGCCAACGTGCTGATAATCACCAAGCAAGCAAGAGGTTTATGGAAAGTATAAATTTTTAGTCCAGGTATAAATTTCATTTTCTGCTTGTATGTAAAAGACTTGAATTTATTTTTGTCAAACTTTTTCACCAATGTGTGTTACTATAGGGTCGTAAGATGGGTCAATGTGAACCTCATAAGTTGAATTTCGGTTGTACGAATGGGATGGAAGACAATACGTACGAGCGAGTATGTGTTTCATGGTCCAGTACAATTTTTTGTATGGTGTTCATTACATTATGTTTGAACTTATTAATGATATTTTGTTATTATGGTATTTTTAGGTGCCGCAAGGTCAATCCTATTATTTTCCGTGTATGGATGGGACACAAGAGAGCGCATTGCAAATGGTGGACAAAATTGGAAGCTCATCTTTCAGTGAATCAGGAATGGCGAATAGGTTTTGAACAGATTCAGAACAGATTATATTTGGTTTTGAACAGGTTTTGAACAGGTTCTGAAGAGGTTAATTTCAGATTTTG